CTGTGTTTGGTTATTTTGTTAGATATCTTGTCTTAAATGTACAGGGAGTTTGAGTGATAAATCAGGTCTTCTTTTCTTTGGAAGGGAGAGGAGGATTGTGTTTAAGGCATTTTTTTTGTTTAGGTTAAAACCACAAAACAAACAGGTTCCTAATTCAGTCCTGGTGCAGGATTACTGAAAAGTGCAGGAATGTTATCAGGCAATTTGGAGATTGTAGTGATTGTTTCATTGACTTGTAATAGTCACAGCTTTTGTCACCAGAATCATACTCTGACTGTGACTTTGGCCTGAGAAGGAGGCGTGGGATTGAAAACCAAACAAACCCTGCAGCTGTTGATTTAAAGAAACGTTTGTGAGTGGGTAGGATAGAAGTCTTTTTTTTCACCAGAACAGCATGATGGGATAGCTCTGCAGCTTTCTGCAACAGGCTCAAGATGTCTACTGATTAAAGAAAACAGTGCATTAATTGCTTATGCCTTAACAAAACTCCACAGTTGACACCTCTAGACCTTCAGGAAAAGATAACTGAGCTGTCTCCCTTGGAGATATTCTCTTCCACTTCTGCCAGCAGATGGCTTTGTTTGTAAACTTAGCGTTTTGCAGGCCAGCATTTGGTAATCTGGGAGCAGTAGTTTGAATGCTAATAATACTCATCAGAAATTGTTATTTATTAAGCCCTCTGACATTTACGAAGAATAGCCTGAGCTTGCCAAGTGTTTCTAGCTCATTGCTGAGGAGCATGCCACGAGTTAGAGCATTTAATTAGCAACCCCATGTCTGGGCCCCTGGGTGTTAATGAGCCTCAGCCTCCCCTGGGTCCTGCTCCCACTCTTAGGTGGGCCCAGAAGCCTGTGTCAGACCAGCCTAGTGCTATCAGTCTGTGTGGGAGCTGTGTTACCAGTGTGCCTGTTCCAGTCCCAGCTGCTGTGGTGTTGACCTGGAGCCTACCTTTGTACCATGACTACCAGGCTGCTCATGGGACCTGCTTCTCTTACCACCCATGCGGGCAGCAGGTCACTGAGCAGTGCTGGTCCCACGGTGAAGCTGCTTTCTCAAATCACTTCTTGTCTGGTTCCTCTCCGTGGTGGCCAAGCTGCAGCCACCTAGAGCAGCTTTATGGCCAAACTGGAGCCAAGAAACAATTTCAGTAGCTGTAGATATACTTATTGGAGATGCTGCTGCAAAGCTTTGGCTGCCTTGAGTTGGCAGAGAGAAAGGGTTGATGAAGCAAGACCCGAGCACTGACTGTGGTGGAACTCCTGGTGCAGCTGCGGGAGAGGAACTTGCTGCTTTGCTTTACAGTCCCTGTGACACAGAGATGTGACTCAAGAAGCATGTTGTAAAGTGAACTTGTTAAGTGCTTTTACAATGCCTTTAAGGTAAACAATTTATGTCCTTTTATCCTCATGGATAACCCTAAAGAGCTCCCACTGATATCCATGAAGGTGGGATCTAGCTCCTGGCTGATGTTCCATATTACTAACTTCAAATAAAGATTTATGCGTAGATAAAATAAACCTTAGAAGCCAAAACTAATTTTAGAGAGTAACTTTACTAAAAATAAATTTGCATATCTTTGGTTGGTAACAAATGGCTTGTTTAAGAAATGTAATTTGATTCATCTATGACTCAGGTGTTATTGTATTAGGTAACAGGCTAAGAGGAATCTTTCATTCATACTGCAGGTCTCTTAATGCTTTTGTATTTATTCTGCTTAGTTTTGTGAGAATTGATAGGATTATAAAAGTGTAATATTTGCTTTAAACATTTTAATGATGTATAATGCAGGTGCATTTGAGTAAAATATTTTTCGTAGTGTAAAAAAGTAAGTTTTTTTTCTTTTGTTCTCACTGAAATAGCTTGTAAATTAAGTTGCTCTATATGGCTCTTTTGAATTTGCTTTAAAGTACATATGTACAGATATGAAGGATGACCTTCTAGATTGAACAAATTAGATATATAATACAAAAAACAAAACTGGAATTTTTGTCTCCTGTAGGTTTGCGAGAAACAGAGAATAATAAGTCCGAGAAGAAATTTTTAAAAAAATCTGTTTTGTATCTTGAGCTGTTAGCTTCCTGTAGTGTTTAACATTGTAATAAATTTAGAGGTTGGTTTCATTTGTTGGATTTTTTTTAACCCGCTAGAAGTATATCCCTAAAGAAAATACTTTCCTTTTCTTGTTTTGCTGTTATTTCTGAAGGTAGCCTTGATGACGTCTATGAAATACTACCTTTTTTTTTAACATTTTATTTTATGTTGTTCTGCATTGATAGCAAAAGACAAAGAACCCATTGAATGCATTATTTCTATTCATAGTGACATAATTGGTCATACAAACCTTCCTGAAGTAAGTAAATATTTCTTTGATTTGGGTAATTGCTGTTATATAATACGTGGAAGTATCACGCAGTAGTATACTGAAGAAAAATCTACTTGAAAAGGATGTTTTAAGATACAGCGGATATATCTGTATTCTTTTTTTTATTTTATTTGTGCTGGGTAGCCTAAGTATACCTAATTCCTGTTGTCTACAAAGACAGAGTATGTGACGTGGGAATGTTATCAAACCAGTTGTGTTCTCTTATCAGTGTCCAGCCTATTTGATTCTACTGTTGACTGTAAATAAAAAGAAACTTGAAATCAATGGCTCTGCTTGGTATAGAGACTCTTTCTCCCTGAATTATACAAAGCATTTCTCCCTTGCAAATGAGAAGGGAGCTAAAACTGAAGAATGTAATGTTTTCACTTTTTCTTTGAGGGGTAGGGCTGATGCAACCAAATTTACAGCTAGTCGAGTAGAAAGAAAGAAAGAAAGAAACAGATTTTATGTATTTTTGCCAACTGTTGTAGAAATCCATCTGAGCTATTGCAAAATTTGTAAGAGTTCCTGAGAGAAAGAATGAGAGCATACATGTGTTTTTCTCATTCTGATTTGTTTGAAAGGATTTGGCCATCTGCAGCATACAGGAAGTGCGTACTGCCTATTGATGGTGGGATAGGGGAAGGCACGTAGAGTTTCTTCTTGTTAGTTTGGTCACTAATATGGTACTAAAAGAGGATTTGTTTTTTAATATAATACAAGCTCTCCTCTTTTTTGAATTTTTTCTTTAGTGTCTTGCGTGCAGGTGAAGAACGTTGCTGTGCCTTTGGCAGGTGGATGTCTCTGTGAGAGAAGGCTTTTCTACAGCTTCAGCTGTGGGCTATTCCTGTCTTACCCAGCCTGTACTTCTCTTTCTTAGTGACCCCAGACTCCAAGCAAGGAAATTTTCCTTAAAAGCACCAGTTAATGGATTGCTCAGACAATTTGCTCAGACAATTTGTTTACACATACTTAAAATTGATCCTTCATTTTTTGGTACTTCAGTTTTAAGAAAATAATTTGGCCTTTTTTGTTCTTAAAAGTAGTCTCTGTCTGTGCTAACACTGCTATATTTTCATTGCCATATTAACTTTTTGAGACAGAAAAGTTGGAGTAATCACAGCTAGTTGGTCCAGTCAATTGGTTTTCTGGTGAGTTGTTTTTGTTGGTCTGCTTTTATTTTTTTCTGGAGTAATATTCTATGTGCCAAGAATTCAGAGGCTGTTTTAAGCTGTGCTTGACTTTGCAGTGCTTCTGATACACTTTCATCTGTCCTCAGCAGCACACTTTGTTAGAAGTTCTGCACCAGCTTTTCTGTTGTTAAACCATCTTCAGCAAGGCCAAATTATCTCTCTTTGTTAGAGTATACTGGCTTTCTGACTCACTTTGTTCTTTTATGTAAGGGGAGGTTCTTCATATATCCTGTCCTGATGAATGTATAAAAATGCAGGATTTGTTTTTATGGTGGGAAATTCTGTATTTCAGCATTGGTGAATCAACCTCACCTTATTTTTATCACCTTAATTTATTACTTTTTGGTACTGGGGATCCAAAACTGGATTGCCTGTTCCAGATGCATATTCCTGGATTGATGGCTAAAGGCAAATAATAGGTTATTAGTGGAATCTTAGCCTGTAGATGTACTCCAGGATATTCTTGACACTCCTTGCTGCCTTACTCATGTTTAGCCCACTTTCTGTCCAGACCCCCAGCTCCTTTTGGACAATGCTCTCAGGTACATGGTGTGATTCTGTGGGTTGACCTGTGCAGAGCCAGGAGTAGGACTCAATGATCTTTGTGTATTTCTTCCAACTCAGGATAATCTGTGATTCTATGATGATATTTGTAGTCCTTCACTGGACCCTCTCCAGTAGTTCCTTGTGCCTTCTGCACTTCAGGCAGTGTGGCTGGAGCACTTGCTGGTGAAGACTGAGGCAAAAATGTCATAGAGTATGTCTGCCTTCTCCATGTCTTGGGTGGCCAAATCTCCCATTTCCTTCTGAAGGCCCACATTTTCCTTAGTCTTCCTTTTATCAATGAAATACCTATAGAACCTTTTCTTGTTGCCCTTGACATCGCTGGCCAGGTTTAATTCTATCAGAGGTTTTGCTTTTGTAACCTGATTCACGGCTACTCGGACAATTCCTCTGTAATTCTTCCCAAGCTACCTGTCCTTGATTCCACCCTCTCTAGGTTTCACTTTGCATCTGTCAAGGAGTTCCTTGTTCATCCATGCAGGCTTCCTAGCATTTCTGCCTGACTTTCTTATTGTTGGAATGCATTGCTTCTGAGCTTGGAGGAGGTCATCCTTGAATATTAGTGAGTTTTCTTGGGCCTTTCTTCCGTCCAGGACTTTATCACATGGTACTTCACCAAACAGATCCCTAAAGACACCAAAGTCTGCTCTCCTCAAGACCGTGGTTTGTGGTTTTTCTTAGCTCCTTAGTGGTTGGAGTGATGTCTAGAATGCTGCATTTCTAGACAAGCAGAAGTGTCCTGGTAGCAAAATATTACTCATGTGCATGTAATCTCTTACAAGCAAAGTTTTCACCATTCCAACCATCTATACTAATCATAAATATTGTTTTCATATTTTTGGCTCTGTACCTTTCTTACATTTTACATCAATTATTTCTCTAGGTATTGCCAGGCATCTGAAGTGGTTGACCAAGCCTAGGGACTTGGAACAGTGGTAAGTAAATGAAATTCAGATTATCTGTGTTTTCACGTGCTGGCTGACTCTGAAGTTTGACTGCTGCTTGAAGGATGGAAGATGTGCAGTAGGTTATGGCTTTTGAATGTTTTCTTCTGAGCATCAAGTTCCTTTTCAGAGCATTCACAGATTTTAAGAAGAACAGGATGTAGTCTCAGTGATTACTTTTGATAAGTGAAGCTTCCTCCCCACAGCACCCTGACTTAGAAAAAACTTAAAATATTTTGGGTACATCAGTTCAGTCTATACTTGTTGAAGTGGTAACATGACCCATTATATTAAAAACTGTAGTGTTCTTTGTAAAGTTAGATAATTTTCTTGATTCCCTGTGCTCATTGCTGATTTTTTGCATCTTAGGTGCTAATTATGTACCATTTTGACTAGAGAAGGATTCAGGAAGGATCTAAGGAAAAACTTTAAAAATTTCAAATACTTTAAAAAGTGAGTTTTATAATGCATTTATAAAATATATTGTTTGTGCTTCCTTATCTGTAGGTATAGGCTGGCAAGGAGAGCCTTACACAGGCAGAGATAAACTCATCAACTCTTAATTGTATTTAATAATCATTGAATACAATAGAACAATAGAATCATTAAGGTAGGAAAAGACCTTCAAGATAATTGAGCCCAACCTTTGACCGAATACCATCACGTCAACTAAACCATGGCATCAAGTGCATGTCCACTCAATTCTTGAACGCTTCCGGGAGTGGTGACTCCACCACCTCCCTGGGCAGGCTGTTCCAATGCTTAACCACCCTTTCAATGAAAAAATTGTTCTTGATATCTAACCTGAACCTCCCCTGGTGCAGTTTGAGGCCATTTCCTCTTGTCCTGTTACTAGTTGCTTGGGAGAAGAGGCTGATAGGAGTATAATAATACTTTCAAAAAGCAATTGCATTTTCTTGGCAAGAGATAGCTATTTGGAACAATGTCATATTTCTGTTTCTCTAGTTTCCATAGTAGAGCCAGTTTATATGAAAAATTTCATATTTATATTAAGAGATGTCATTTGATTTCAGTGTTGTTGGCAGCAAGTATAAGTTTTTAGCACCTATGTATTTGGTTCTATGTGCTGTTGACTTTGGTGGCCAATACAGTGCAAATAAAAACAACCCTTGCCTTGTTTTTGTTTGTTTTTATTATTTTTTGCTTTAGTGACCTCTGAAAATCATGCTTGTTCTTCATTTCTAAAAATACCATGTAGTTAAAACTGAAGGAATTTATCAGTTTAGAATATTAGCACTCATGTAGTTCTATATTTACTATGTCCTTTCTATTTGTGCTTGTATTTTGCCAGGAAAAGCAAATAAGTGAATTTGTCAGTTAGTTTTGGATAATTCCTTTTTACCTAGTGTTTATCTACCCCTGTGTCCCTATCCTCCACTGCCTGACAATTGTCAGGACTAAAATGCTGTATTCGTAGTGTCGTTAGTGCGCAACTGGAATGAAAGCATCATAGACAGTTAATATATCTTTATTCAACAAAAAATATAGGTATTCTTTCTTTCAAGTTCGATGCTGTTTAAGAAGTGGATAGTTAAGAATTAAAGAGACTTATTATTAATTTAAAATTGATTCTTGGCTAGTGTTACAGATAATGTAACTTATTTTAAGACAGTGTGCCTCAGACCAGTTAAGAGGGGAGTCCTGTAGCGCTTAGCAGTATAATAGAAACACTAGTACATGCATTAAGGTGAAGGTAACTTAAACAACAACCTGAGCATCTGTCAGCAGCAGTTGCAAGCCAACATAGAGAGTTAAGTGTAGTGGTGATTGGTAAAATTGCACAGTTGATAAGATTAGTTCTGTGCAGATCTAATATGTTTGAAAAAAACCTGAAATTATAACTTTTTCTTCATAATAAAATATGTAAATAATATAATTTCTCTCCAGATGCGCTAATGAGCACAACAAAGGCTAGTTGTCTGGGTTTTCTTCAAAGGCTTTGCATAATTTGTCTTGGGGGAACATTTGAAAATATCTAAGCAGTTCATTCCCTAAAAATCTTCACTTCAATCGCAGTTAAATAATTCATAAAATTGTAACTGGAAGCAAGAAATAAACAACAAAGATAAAAATTTAAAGGATCAAATTACCTTCTGATAATCTCTTAAAGAAATCTTTGGTATTTTGATTACTCTTTTCCTCTTCTTTTTCTCCCCAGTGTTTCAATGTAATTATAAGAACATTCCCATACTTGCTGACTTGTGTATGTGCTCCTTTTGTTGCAATATGAGTAGGGTAGAAGCTTATGATGCCTTTTCTAATAAACATGAAAGATAGTCTCTGATATTGTATTACGCCAAAAAGGACCAGTTATTGTAGTTTTCCATATAATGCTACTAACCAAAAATTGATTGCTTAGTACGGGGTGGTTAAGACCCTTCCAGGACCTGCATATCACAGGTGATGGTAATCCATGCTCCAGTGAGATGCCTCAGCAAAGGCAGAGGCTGGTGTTGAACATCTCTGGAAAACAGCGGGTGCTTGGGGAGTGTTGGCCTCAGGACTCTGATGAGTGACTGTGAGACTTGTGTCTGAGGATTTGGAGGTTTGATCCACTCTTTTAATAGCTGAAGTTTCATCAGCCACTTGCTAGTAATTTTGACAGAGGCTGATACAAAGGTGCAGTTCTTGGACTTTGGACTTTTGTCATCCCAGCTGCTCTGAAACCTGCCAGATGATGTGACAAATATTCTTCTGTGTTACATGAAAATAAATGTTTTGACTATCTAGTCCTGTTCCTCTTTAGGTGATAATACTTACCTATCTTTCCTGGATAGGGTCCAGGTTGGCACTGGAGGATGAGGGTTATGCTTTCTGGCCTTGGGAACAACTGGGAGAAACTGAGGTGAGGGAAAGCAAGTAGAGTGCCTTTCTGAAGGTCTTTCCTCGTGTTGTGGTAACACTCAGAAGAAGGAATGCTGTGGTTTGCTCAAGCTTTTCTAGCTGTCATCTTATCTATGTGCTGAACTTTGCCTCATGATGGTAACTTCAGGAATTACATTTTTTTGTTTCTGATAAAGTCATGCCATACTTTAGCTGGAAATAGAAAATTTGGTAATAGTTTTGAGGCACTAAAGGGTCTCTGTTAAACCCACACAGTTTACAACAGAATACAGATAGGGACAGGGAGTAGATTTTTGGGTTTTTTGTTTGGTTTGGGATATATGGCTTTGTTTATATCAGTACAGTTTTGTACTATGTACATAATGGTACAGAAACAGGGTGGGTTTTTACCTCTGGAATTGAAAAATAGTGTGTGGCCAGTATTCCTGGTTTTACTTGGTTTTGTTAACAGCCAGAGTAAATAGGAAGTTAAATACTTGTACTGCTTTTCCTCTTTGAATAATCTCCTTTCTGTGTCTGTGCTTTGCCTTTTCATTTTTATTTTTCATATAATTTATCTTTGTGTACTCCTTCTTTAGAGAACTTCAAGGTGATTCTAAAGCACTAATCACAAATTGCACCCCACTTCTATTTAATAGAAACAATAGTAGTGGACTTTTTTTCCAATTTCTTTCCTTTTGTCTGTCATTAGAGGGAAGAAAGGACAAGTTATTGAGTCTGAAAAATATTGTGGTTTCAAGTTCTTTCCTTGGGAAGGCACTGGAAACTTTCAGATGCTGTAAACCACATTGAACTGATAATTTGCTTATGGAGTAGAAAAAACAATGGTTAATTTTAATGTTATTATTTCTGGAACTTAGTGCAGTTCCTGATGTGGAGATGCCATGCCACAAGCAGTGACTAAATAGCAGTTGCTGCTACAGGAAGAAGTGTGGTGTAGCAGATAGAACTGCCTGTCCTGACTCCTGCTTTCGACTTCTGCCTCTGTTGTTAACCTACTAAGTCATATTAGGAAAGTTAATTAATTTCTTACTCTTTTTGTCAGCTTAGATTGCAAGGCCTTTTGTCCAGGTACTGCGTCTCAGTTCATGTCACTGTACTTTGGTGCCTGTGGATTCCTTCAGTTGCTGTAGTATTACTATTGTTACTTGCAGGGTTTCTCATTAGCTCTCAGGAGCTCACCATGTGACATGGAATTCTGAAAACACTTGAATATTTGTTCTACAAGAAGAAAACCAGTAATACTTTTCAGAGCCTTGTTTAATAGTGCATCTGGTCTTGCACAGCTGCAGGCTGATGCCAAAAGAGACAATATCACTTCAGCCTGTTCCTTCCCTCTTGCATCAGCCCCCAGTCCCAAGGTGAGTTTAAGGTAAGCAGCTAATTCAGAAAAAAAAAAGAACCTAACTGCCTGGGAAGGAAAACTAAACCAGATAACTAGCTGGCTTGGCTTGTCCTGTGGCTGAGAAATTACTAGATGTAACAAAAGGGACAAAGATGTAATAAGCAGCTGGAATTAGGTGGGGAGAGTAGTACTGTTTCTTTCAGCAACAGGTAATAAATATACCAGATGAGACATAGCATGGAAACCAAGGCTTATTAAGAGCTGCATTTTACAACCAGATTTTGAACACAGCAGAAGAATGTGCTGTGTTCAATGCATGTGCACAATGGATGTGACACCCCAGCTTCAGTTCTGCTGATGTTAGCTGCCAATATTAGATGTTCTTCACTGAAAGGATTTTTTTCTAATACAGCTTTTAATTGTTTTTTTTTCCCCTCAAGTAACAGTCATCTTTGTGATCCACAGTATAATTTCAAGGCACATTTCTGATGCCTAAATATAACTTTTATTTAATTTTAATTGAAATTGAAATCCACTTAATCTTGCAAATTTAGCTGAGAGAAGTAGCTCTTGATGTGATACTTTCTAAAGACCTTGTATTCATAATTTCCCCTTTAAACTCGGTCAAGAAACTTGATTTATCTTGAAAATGATTTATGTAATTGGAGTTGACTCTCTGAAGGGCATTTTTCAACCACTACCCTTTCTCTTAAAAATGTATACAACAGATTATATCAGTTTCTTTGATCTTACTTTCTTTGTGAGCCTTATGTAATAAGAT